CACACACACACACACACACACACACACACACACACACACACACATATATATACATACATACATATATACATACATACATATATATATGTATATATATATATATTGAAAGTAAACTTTAATTTAAACTTCAATATATATATTGAAAGTAAACTTTAAATAAGAAAGTAAAGCAACCATTCACTTATAGTAGGAGGAATCAGTGACTGTATATACAGTAGATTGTTCTTCATTTATGGCCTGGTCACTTAGCAACCATTCAAAATTAAGACAGACACCACAAAAGCTACTTATGCTCCTAATTCAAAGTTCCAACAGTTTCCGCCCCCCCACATGGTCACATGACTGCATTTTGGGCACTTAGCAACCAGCCTGCACTCATGGCCATTTGCAGCATCTCACAGTCATGTGGCCACGATTTACAATATTTTTGCCAGATATCAGCATTTATTTCCAATTTCCAGTAAAAAAAAAAAAAAGTCCATAGCAAACAATAGGTTCACTTAAGAAGCGGGACATGCACCTTAGGACTGCCATATTCACTTAATGAACACTGGGTAAAAAAAGTTGTAAAATCAAGCACAATCATGGGGTAACCCACAATGGCCATCATGGTTTATTATTTTAATAGCAGGCTCAATTACTCATCCACTCAATGGATGACTATGTTATATTATAATAAATATTTTTTTCAATACATCAGGCAAAGACCAAATGCTTAAATGTTGCATTTTGGTTTATTTTAGCTTTTTTCTTAAAGCTCAAGGAAAGATGGGAGAGGAATAAGAACAACTCTTGGCCAGAGAGTCACTCAGTGAGCTAAATAATCCACTACCTAAAGTACTATATAAACTGCAATTGGTTAATATGTTTATTCACAGTGTATTTAATACAATCCATACCTGCCATATCAAATATTCAGACAAACAAAAGAAAAACTCAGTATTAATTCTTAGTACAGGTCCAGAGCAATATATGTAGTCCTGAACCTATAACTGAAGTTGTGCACTTCTGTTGCAAAATTTGTCTGGTTTTAATCCTACCTGTAATATTGCAGTATGCCCATGTATTATCCAAATCAAAGTTGCTCGTAGTGGCACACCACAGCTTCCCATCACTCATGCCCTCTGCTGTACATGTATTGTAGGAGATGCTTTTGTAGATGAATGGGAATACACAAAGTGGATTTACTATTATTAGATAAGGTTCTGGATCTTAAAAGAAAAAGGTGAAAAATATTTTTCACATATGATTTATGTTCAATTGTAAATACATGTGAAACTAACACAGAATGGAAAAATATTTATCTGCTTATATTTTCAGAATAAGACTGAGTATACTAGAGAACAGGATCTATCTTTTACAATTTCCCTCCTAAATAAATTTGTGATGAAAGACCTATTTGCTTTTATAGACATACATAGTAGGATATACTGTATAGACTTCTTATAGACATATAGATTTCCTGGGACCTATAGATTCCAGGCATTGTAGCACAGTTACGGCTCTATCAAACTTTGTTTCAGCTAATACTACCTTTCACCATAATTCATGGAATAGACTTCTGGATTATTCTGTATACGTTAGTATCAGTTAAACAGTTCAGGTTTTTTTGTTAAATAGATATTTTTGTTAAATGCTGCATTCTTTGTTCATATTGTAACTTTTGTGAGCCGCTATTTCAAAGTTTATAGAAGTTATCTCTTCATAATTGTCATGAGGATACTATAAATAAGAAACAAATGCACATTGACAATACCACATCATACGCATACAGACACACTAAGTTCCCTTCAAGTGGTTTCTATTCCATATATTTGGTAGGATAACTTTTTAAAGACTAGCCTTCATTCCTTGATCTATCTGGACCCACTATTTGAAAATCCACAGAACGAAGTATTCATTATATTTATTACCTGTGACATTACAATATTTCCATTTCTTATCTTTGTCATAGTTGCTACTTGTGGAACACCAGAACTTCCCATTTTCCATGTCCTCATCAATACATGTACTGTAGAACTTGCCCTTGTAGATGAATGGGAAGACACAAGTTGGATCATCTTGCTGTGGCTCTGTTCCTGTTAAATGTTAAAATAAAAAGCAAATGAAGAAAGATATATGGACTTTCCAGAAGAGAATCAGTTAGTGTTGTACGTTCAGATGGCCTTTGGCCATCAAATGGCAATGTTCAGATATTTCAGTGGCAAAATATGGCCACTGAATATAGAGATATTGATAGATCCAATCCAAGTAAGTCATGCGATCTAAAGATTTAGTCTTCCAAGGTTTCTGGCTAATGCTGAAGTCCATCATCAGGGAATTTCTGTCTCTCTCCAAAGTATGTACACTGGGTTGTATTTATTATATTTATACTGTTCTGGATTGTGTGCAGCTTTTAGTTGTTAATTCGGATGTTAATGGCTGATTAATTAACAACTAAAAGCTACTGTTATTGGAGCCAAACAAACTAGTAGCATATGATCCCTGCATTAAATCCTGTGTTAAAATAGCTTATTTCCTCAAAGGTGATTTGGAGGAAAGATTTTGTTTCTTTTTTTTCCCCTTCTTCTTTCGTCTTTCTTACCTAATTCCCCTGGACAGAACTTCATTTTCTTATCAAGATCATAGTTGATAGTGGTGGCACACCAACGTTTCCCATCATTTCGCCCCTCTCTAGTGCAGCTGAAATACAGCTTGCCATCATAGACAAATGGGAAGACGCAAGATAGATTCTCCATGTTCTCTTTTGGTTCTGATGTTTAATAATTAAAATAGGGAAATAGAATACCAGTAAATAGAATACCAGTTGCCCAAGGATAACTTTGCAGTGTAGAAGTCTACAGCCTAAACTTAATTTGCAATGAAGCCAAAACTAGATGTAACAGAAAGCAAGAAGTTGCTTTCAGTGTCTTGCCATTTTCATATCTTTACATATTGAACGTGTAAAATAACATCATGATATTGAATGTACACACACACACACGATCACACATAGATCAACTGACTAATAAAAGAGAGGAATGTTCTAAGCAAGAAGATAAGAAGAAAGAGTAAAAGGGGTATGGAATGACTATGGTAGCACATTTTATATAAAGACTTTTCCCACCATCCTACTTTTGCCAGATGGTAACTTGGTTGAAATAGATCAGGTGGAAAATAGAGGCAGAGACAGAGACAGAGACAGAGACAGAGACAGAGACAGAGACAGAGACAGAGACAGAGACAGAGATAGAGATAGAGATAGAGATAGAGATAGAGATAGAGATAGAGATAGAGATAGAGATAGAGATAGAGGTAGGGAGGGAGAGAGAGAGAAAGAAAGAGAGAGAGAGAGATTTTTTGCATAGCAGGGAAAAACTTTTTATATCATTTTTTTCATCCAAGATCTTGAATATTAATCCAGTCTCAGGGCATCAGTAGTGCTTAGACCTCAATAGCTAATTTTCTTAAGTGAGCATTTAGGCTCTTGAGTGAGCATTCAGGCATGGAACTCTAATCATCTATTTTACATTAGAATTATCTTTCTCCATGTCTTTAGGTATTGAACAAAATGAATCATTTTCTCTTCCACCTCCTTCCTCCCATCTCAGTTATAACTGGAAGAACCAAATGTTCATTTAGGTGGTATACCTCATTTAATGACTGACAATTCTATTGTTAATTAATAGAACTAAAAGAAAGAGAAAAATCGGACTTCTATAAAGTATGGAATAAAATGTACAAGTGGCTAGAAAACAGAAGCCAAGACAGAAAATAGAGAATGCAAATATATGGAGATATAAATAATGAATATTATTATAAGTGTTAATATTATAATTGTTACATTATAGGACAAGGTTATAGTGAGAGGAAGGCAATGCAGAAGGGAGAATTATAAAAGCTAAGAAGGAAAGCCGACATAGAAAGCTGTAAAATTACTGTATATTGTTATGTATGTTCTGTGTTTTGTCTTATTGTGTTTTTTTTTCTTTGCTGTGTCTTTCCTATTGTTTTTAAAGGATCAAAACATTTAATAAAAATTATTTTAAAAAGACAATTCTATTGTTAAATGATACCGTTGTTTAGAGACTAATCATATGATTACACTGGACTTACAATGCCATTTCTTCTGCAGTTGTTAAGCAAATCATCCACAGTCATTAAGAGACACATAAGACCATGGCTTCTCTATTGATTCTACTTATGGAAATCTGGGCTGTGAACTGCACATATGGCAGTCATGTGGCCATAAGGTTCTGCAATGTTCATAAGCACTCACTGGTGGCAAACACCCATATGTTGATCATGTAACTGCAGGGATGTTGCAATAGTCATAAATGCAAGGACCAGTCATGCTTATTTTTTCAGTACATGGTAATTATGAACGTTGCTACACAGGGCAGTCATTGAACGGGGTCTGTCTGTGTAACCTCTGCCACTGAATAATTCCTTTATAGGGGCATGGAAAAATTAGTTTCATTTATATTAAACTTGATACCTCAATGCTGACCATCCTATAAATGCAAAAGTTAATGAAAAAATTAATGTTCCAAGCACTGCAGAAACAACATGCCTGCTTTCTCATGATCCTATGTCCCAAGTAACTACTATATTTTCCTATATTTTTTAAACTCCTTTTACAAAAAGAATTGCCTGCTTCAGATTTTCCATTTGTTGTTTTAGATCCTGTCTTAATATCCTACTCCTTCTCCAACCCCCTACTATCCAACATCATGTACACATAACTTTTTCCTTTCACACAGCACAAAGAAAAAGACCATAATTTTTTTGCATGCCACCATCCTACCAGAAGATTCACAATAGGTCCATTGAAAATCAATATCATAGTTCTTGGTAAGGGAGCACCATGGCTTCTTATTAGAAATTCCATCTGTTGTGCATGATGAATAAGACGTGTGGTTGAAGATGAAAGGAAAGACACAGGGTCCCTTAGGATTGGCATCTAATCCTGTGCAGAAATGAATATTAGTTTCCTCTAACAAGCCTATTTAGACAAAGAACAAAAATGTTCCCCTTTTTAAGGGTTGGGGGACAAATTTCATCTATTTTTAAAATAAAAATATTTTAAAACATTTTAAAGAATATGAATAATAAAAAATTCAAAGCAGTTAAAGCATTATTTACAAAAAGAAATATGTATTGCATCTATTTTTTCTAAAACAGATCAAATAACAATCCCAATATTAATATTTATTTTGTGAATAGTCCCAGAGTCCCACACTTTCCCAGAGTGATGTGGCTTGATACATTTCATTGGACAAAGTATTCCACAAGATAGGTGTCATCATAAAAAATAAAATCCTCTCACACCTCATTTTCCCAGGATCCATAAAGAAGGAAGGAGAGAAGCATATCATCCTCCTTGGCTTTACAAGTTTACATCAGCATCTGAATTAACCAATAGTTAAATCTGGTAATCTATACAGATTATGCAAAACAGACATCGTAGGGCACCAGTGCACAAATTTCAATTTACAATGCAAACATAAAATTTCGTATATGGATTAAAATTATGAGTGTGAAAATTAGGCCACAAATTTTTGTTTGTTTTTAACTTTCAAAACTCCATGGCTAAGCAAGATCCACTTCCCTTTGCCATTATCTTATACCCTTTGCTTCAACTTCCATATATCAAGCTGTTCTGCTCTCAAATAACAATAGAGTTTCTATTTCCTTAATATTTTTTAAAATTATTCTTGGTGTCCTTCAAATCTAAATCTAAGGCAAGCCTTAGATTTTCTTCCTCCAAATCCCTTGCCCAACTAAATTAATCCTTGAAACTGAAATATTCTCTAAATTGTTCTCTCTATACTGTGCTCATTTTTAGTCATATTGCTTTAGCTGTACAGCAGATGAATTTTCACACATTGCTAAATGTTTTCTAGCAGGCAGTTTGTGCCTCTTAGTACTTTCTTACAAAACATTTTGTCTCTCAGGCCTGAACTAACAATGAAAAGAAGCTTTTGAAACGTGACTTGAAGATCTTGATCTCTTATATCCTTTGTAGGACAAATAATTACAGCACTCAATATCTTGTTCTTACTGGTGTCAGCACAGTAGCTCCACTCAAGATCCTTGTCATAGTTTCTTGTGGTGGCACACCAGAATCTTCCCTTCTCCACTTTGGTACATGTGTAAAAGGTCTGGTTCTTGTAGACAAAGGGAAACACACAGGATTTGCCTCCAGAATTGCCTCCATGCTCTGAAAACATGGAAAGTATGGATGTAGATGGAAAGAAACATGAACAAGACATAGCTAAGAACTTTGCTTGCTTATATAATTCCTGTAACACTCAATACTACATCTTGTCTTTTCCATTCATCATTGTCAACTGAGTGACTTAAAGACAAACAAATGGTTTTAGACTTATGTGAAGAATGCTCTTAACCCACATGGAGTTAGTTAAGATCAGATCAAGAGTGTTAAAGAAAGAAACTGAAGAATTTATTCTACTGACTCAAGAACAAGCTTTACTAACTAATTGCATGAAGGTAAAATTTCAACATATAACAAATAATAGCAAATGTTGTCTTTGTAGTGAAAAGGATGAAACAACTGGTCATTTGATCAACTGCTGAAGCAAAATTTCACAAATAGCATCATGACCAAGTTGCCAAAATTATTAATTGAAAACTGTCAGTTTTGAATTCAAATGTAGTGAAAATTATGGGATGGTTAGGTTGGAAAGGTTTTAGAAAAAAATGAGTGGGTTAAGATTTTATGAGACTTTAAAATCCAAATAAACAGACATCTTATTCATAACATGCCTGATAACACAGTTATTTAAAAGGAAAAAAACTTGTTTATTGAATCTGCTATATTAGTGACATTAGGATTGAGGAAATCAATGGAAAAATTACAAAAACCAGGGCTTGCAGATTGAACTGAACATCTACAGAAAAAGATGATGTTTGTATTTGTATTTGTATTTTATTATTTGTATGCCGCCCTTCTCTGGGAGGACTCAGGGCGGCGAACAATTCAAGGGGGGGGGGAAGGGGGAACATAAAAGACAAAATACAAATAATAAAAGTAGACAACAGTCGCACAACCATACATGTCGAGAGGGGAGGGAACTCATACTGAAGAAGCCATCGTTGGACCCAGCTAGTTGGAACAACTACCATCCAGTCTCCAACCTTCCCTTCATTGGGAAGGTTGTTGAGAAAGTGGTAGCCTCTCAACTCCGACGGTCCTTGGATGAAGCCGATTATCTGGATGCCTTCCAGTTTGGATTCAGGCCTGGCTACAGCACAGAAACTGCTTTGGTCGCACG